GGCACCTGGCCATCAACCCTTCCCGAAGGAACATATCATCATCACCGATGGGCACCAGGCCATCACCCTCCACATAGGAGCACATTATAAACAGGATAGATCACTTACGCTCCTCTGAGACAGGATCTATCCCTCACAATCACCGATGGGCACAAGGCCATCACCCTCCACACAGGAGCACATTATCACTACCATGTTATGCACAACACATAACCTCAGATACACTAAGTGTACACAATTCCACCGATCACATTTCATCACACATCATATATCTACATAGGTATCACACATCATCACATTCATATGCAATTACATACACCGATTTTTCGATCATTTAAATTAAACGAATATCGAGGAAATCATATTCCACACCATACATATACTCCCTATAGTTCAACATCAATCTCCTAATCTATCACGACCAACAAGGGTCCAACAACACAAGAGCACAGAACAGCGCAGTACAAAAATACAAAACATTGTCATGCTCGCTGGCTCACTCGCTAGGCGAGGCATCAGCGAATGCTCGCTACTTGCTTGCTCAGCGAACTCCCTAGCAAAGCCAGACAGTGGCTACTGGAAGCATTCGCTACCCAGTTCGCCCAGCGAATCCCTAGCGAAGATTCGCTACTCGCTCGCTCAACGAAGCATCTGGAGAACGTCTGCGATTCAGAAAAAAAATAATACTGCTCAGAGTCGGCGAAAACGCTCCGAACTCGATCGATTCTACTCAAACCAGTTCCCATCACATCGGCTCAACATTCAACAACTTAATTATATAATCTACTCTCGATTAAACCCGATTAAATCCCAGCTCCACACATTCATCAGTTCCGGCATAAACTTCGAACTACCCGGAAACCCCCAAAATTGATCAAACAGCACATGCAATGGAATCAAAATATCATCAACAACTTAGAATCACAACATCATGTAAAACATAATCACCAAACCTATGGGGTTAAGGGAAATCCCTTTCTACCTAATATTCATGCATTCTACCAATTTTAACTGATTCCCCCCCCCCCCCCCCCCGATTACCTCGATAGCTTGAACAATCTGAGAAAACTCTGAAATTCTAGCTTCCTCTTGCTTCAATTCACCTTGCTATTTTTCCCCAAGTTTCTCTTGATCGTGTTTCCCTTTCTCTTCTCCTCCTACGTGTTCTTCTTCTTCTCTAATTTCAATATTCCAACAATTCCCCTCCTCCCAATTCCTTTTTATTTCATTCTTTTATTTACTCAATCATATTAATAATAATAACATTAATAATAATAATAATATTAATAATAATATTACCATTATTAATTAAATTATCATTACTAAATATTATTATTAATACCAAAGTCCAAAATTATTAATTAGTCTCCAACTTAAGGGCTACACGCTACCGCACTCAACCATACCCCTACACAGAAGGCACACCACAAATAAAATACACATAAAAACGAGATAATTAAAATGGGCGTTACAGGGACAGTTCTCGCTTATGGTTCATTTATCCAAGAAATTCTTACAAGTGCTGAAGTTGATTTTCCAACCTTTCCATGCATATCAATTACATCAGACAAAGAGTTTAGTCAGAAAACCCTTTCAATGATGGGTTACTTTTGGTCTGAAGAATAAAGGCAACTACTCGTCGGAATGTTGTAGAATCTGATGGCAGTGAAGAAAGTGAAGAAAGTGAAGAAGGAGAAGAAGAGGAAGATGAAGAGGAGTAAGAAGAACAGGCACACGAGGAACATGGAACTCATCAACAAATGGACACTGATGAGTATACCAATGACGAGTGGGTTCAATACAACACTCCAACTGAAGAGGAAACTAATCAAGGTTAGGGTGAATGGCAACACACTGGATGGACCACCATGTGACAATTTTACCAACCTCAGCAATGGGGTTATGAAGCGCCTCCATCTCCCCCGCGGTCAAATACTTCTGAAATTCTCAACATGATGCAGTCTATGCAATTGGAACAGCAAACCTTTATGAGGGCTCAAGACGAGAGCGGTTTGTTCAAATCCAAAGAGAGCTTCAGACGCAAAACGAAAGGCTAAATAATTTCTCAACAAGGATGGACGCAAGGTTTGAAGCTCTAGCTGCATCAAATGCAGAACAGGAACGGGTCGTAACCAATAGCTTACACTATCTAAACAGCATTACTGTGGAATTCACCGACTTGGCCGATCCATACCGCAATCCACATTTCTATGGGAGGGGTCGAGGACGTTAGATTCATGCTTGCATTTCATTATCTATGTTGTTTATGTTATTATGTTTCTTACTTTGTACTTGAGCCAAATGTTTGAATGTTCTAAGTGTTATGTCTTATTGAGCTGCTTTGTCATTTGTGACTTAATCTATCATATGTTTATTCATTGATTTCCTTTTCATTGACAATATTGTGTGTGAATATTCGTTGATTCTAGTTATTACCTGTTGAGAATTTTTGAGTTTACCATTTAATTCTTCACCTATCTCTTTCTCTTTTTGTTGTTGTCAAAGGGGGAGAAGAGAGTGTGCCAAAGCCAAGATCACATCAGTTTTTTTTAGAAGTGTAGAATTGCAAAAGCAAGGGGGAGGTTATGTTATTAATATTACATGTTGCTCTCGTTGGCTTCACACGTTTTGTCATCATCAAAAAAGGGGAGTATGTGAGGGCAAACCCTCATATAACATACGTACTTGAGTTTCGATGATAACAAAACGCAATAATGGATGAATCGGTTTTCTCGACTCTACCTCTACTAGACAAATGCAATACTTCACCTCTCATATCCTTCTTATATCCATCTAACTTGCCATATTAAATTTAATATATGTGGAAGACCATTGGTTATGTCTAGATGCATAAAAACCACAAAAATATGTATTTTTGCAGATTTGCAGGATTTGAGTCAACCACGACGCATGGTCAGCGCATGGATCAGTGCAAAATTTCACGGGTCGGCGCACGCCGACCTATGGTCGACGTATACTGTGAAGATTTTTCAATTTGGCTAACACTGCAGGCTATGCGTCGACGCATAGTCCTGCTATAGTCAACCGTTCGCTCGTTGATGTTGTTGCTTAAGACTTTCCACTTTGGTTGAAAAGTTGTTAAGTTTGTTGGTTTGTTGGTTACTATATATAGATGTTTTATGTTCATTTCTCAACAACAATTGAAATATTTGAGTCAATTGTACAAGAACAAGAAAAGTGAAATAGGTGCCCTTGTCTTCATCATCTTCATCTTCAACAACTCATATCACATCAATTACACACAATCATTCTTGGTGTGCATTGTGTCTTGTTCAAAGTGATAACGTCTGAAGCCGTCAATTGGGAATCCGGTTCGGGTTGAACTTGCGGCAGATTTTTCTTGAATAAAACTTTGAAGGTTTTATCCTCCAAGATTCGTTGGAATTTGGGGATTTTTTGTACGGATCTTCTCTACAACATTCAGCTGAGCGAAGGTAATTGAGAAGCGGAAGGTTTCGTCAATTTAGTAGCAGGAATCAGTGAAGTGTCCAAGAGAGTTCTGGGTTCGATTTGTGTGTGTTTGAGATCAGTCGGGCCGAGGGTTTGAAGAACGAAAGGTTGTTCAACAAAGAGGTTGGAATCGGAGGTCTACTCACAACGATTGAAGAACTTAATTCGACTCGAATTAAGGAACAAGGAGAGAAAGCATCATCAACATCAAGAAGAGCTTGTTTGTATATTTTGTTGTCTATCCTTGTATAAACATTTCAACTCTACAGGTGATATCTATTATATTGAGCTCAATTTTATTATTAGAATTGAGGGCAGACGTACCCCGAAGCGAGGACGGCGGGGGAACTGCCTCAACAAATCTTTGTCTCCTTTACATTTCTGCATTTTCATTGTTGCTTATTAATTGAGTAAATTTTAGTATAAGCATTTTTATCAAAATTAATATTTGTTTGAGTAAGTGATTATCACTATTTTAACTCTAGTACAATACTACATTGTACAAGGAAGCTAGAGTTATTTACTCAAGTCAAAACTCACTTGGAGTGCCTCGCACGTCAAGTGTTTGATAAATTGTCTACACCAAAATTCCCTTGTGTGTAGCATTGGAACTAGTCTTACTAATTTGTGGTATAATCAATTGATAGTGTGACTAGTGTGTTGAATCAATTTGCTCATTATCATATTCATAGGCTAGATGCATATCCGGTCTTCTAATAATGATTCGTTATAGATGTAATTTTTCCACGGCCGCTTCCGCATTTGCAAACATTGTTAAAATCAATTTTAAATTGGTAAGCGCCGACTGATTTTTTAATTGGGATCTATTCAACCCCCTTCTAGATCTGCGTCATCGTCTAACAAAATCTATGTTAGGTCCTTTAACTAAAGTAGTTAGCACCTACTCAAGCGAGAAGTGACATCTAAGAATATTTCTTCATGGCATGATCGTATTCAAATTGTTCCTCAGCCTGGTTGAATAAGTCTTGAAAAGATGGTTGGTTCAAGTATGATATTGGGATCACAAACCGCTTCATTTCCTCTCCAATATATACCGCTAGATATCCCTTTGACGGACAGACACCTTTTGAAGATGTTGTCTTTCTAATGATACCAGATAATCAGAAACCCATTCCTATATGTGTGGAAAGGAAGTTATTGGTGTAGAAGAAAAAAAATAGAGATTTGTATGTAGAAGACTAAAGTTTCTGAAATTCAAATGCTTTGAGATGTGAATGATTTTTGGTTGGTCCTAAATTCATTTGCAGCCATGAATATATATAGGTGAAAGGATACTAAAAAAAACCGTCGGCAACTATAATGATAACTATAATGATGAGTGAAGGAGAGGGCAAGAAGATTTGAGTGATGGTACAAGAGCATATGAAAGATCACATGGTGTTGTCTTTAGAGTACTTTGTCAAGTGTGAGATATTAGATCGAATTCTAGTATGGTCAAAAGGTATTTTAATTCGACAGGAATTAAGCATGAGGTCTTTAGAGTACTTTTTCATCACATACATACAACAATGGGCTTTCGTTTACCTACTATCATCAGAAGGGCATCATCATCTTCAAAAGCAATGGACGTGCCAAAGAGATATTTTGCCGTATATGTTGGAGAGGAGATGAAGCGGTTTCTGATCCCTGTATCATACTTGAACCAACCATCGTTTCAAGAATTGCTGGATCACGCTGAGGAAAAATTCGGATATGACCATCCAATGGGAGGTCTCACAATTCCTTGTGGAGAAGACTTGTTCTTGGAAATCACTTCTCGCTTGAGTGCGTGCTAAAACCCATTGGTGGATGAAACTGACATAGATCATTTGAGTACAGTTTTGTATAGAAGACACTTTCCTTAGAACAATTTTGAATGAGTTTATACTCTAAACTTACTTGCCAAAATATAATACAAAGAGACATTGATCTATCTTGCATATTTTCCTTTGCCGTGCTTCTAATAGAGCCTTATACACCTTCTGTTTGCAACTAAAATTTTCAGCAATTGTTATCGATTGTTATAACCACAAACATGTAAAATGGTATGTGGATCGATTGTTATCGACTGCTATACAGTCGCTGCCAGCTGGATAAACTTGTTTTTGACATGAAGTTGAACATACTCACAACTTTGAATAGGAAAAGACCTAAAAGTGTCTTAAATATTAGACAAGTGTACAATGCCCGCACCCAAAAGAACAAGGTGATAAGAGGTTCAACATCTGAATGCAGACAAACCTGCATTGCACCCTTTTTGATTATACAACTGCCAAAAATGATATTGCATAAGAAAGATTTTGAGGAAACTCACTATGAAGTTCTCAATGTCAAGGAGGATGCAAATTTCGAAGAGATTCATGCTAGTTATCGATGTGCTGCACTCACTTTACATCCTGATCATTAAAATTACATACTAGAATATTGTTCATCAGTGTATTATTATACCTACAATCTATATGCAATCTGATAATTATTCTATACACAAAACTTCTTTGTATTTAATGTTATGAATCATGAAATCGTTTTCTTTAGTTCCAATAGTTTCGACCATCTTTTATCAAACGAAGGCTCACTTCGCCTAGCTGAATCTGAAAAACAAAACAATGGTCAATAAGTTATTCTCGAACTTTTCATTTTCAAGGTTGGTTTGTTCTTTTTGTAATACTTTGTTAGTTGCCATGAAGTTTTCGGTTAAAAGAAACTCTTACATAGTGTAGTACCCTCAGATTTCTCGCACAACTCCGAGCAAGTACCCTGCAAAAGAATTTTAGAAAAATTACGTCGACTCCCAAAATCAAAATTTTGAAACATGTTGCAAAATCATGAATTGAAATTCTGCTAAATATACTTGTACTAATGAGTTTATCCTGATGGCATCTCGTACAAGAGAATCAAGATCAACTTCATATCCTGGTCTAGTATATATCACCTGTATTAGATTATTGAACAAGTTACTTAACAAGAAAAACATTTCAAAGTAGGAAAAAAGAAAGAAACTAATTGATCTAAAGAGAAGTTGTTACATTTGGGTCGCCTCCAATTTCAGGTAGCGGTGTCTTGCTGCGTTGCTTGTCTTTACTTGCAGCCCTGAGAACCCATATGTTGAAATTTGCATCAAGCTGGAACCATTGATCAAGAAGGAAAAGTCAGAAGCATTGATAAAAAATCTGTTAGTTCATAATGAAAGGAAATACCTGTCTGCAATATGTGGAAGAACAGTTGCCGCATCTTGAAGTGAAGGATGTGGTGATTCTTGCATCTACTGATAGGCCAAAGCTAGCATGCTGGCATTACCATTTACAAGTGTTGGCAAGTGACTAACAAATAAATTTGAAATTTGAAATAATCAGATAGATAGATATGTTGATGATTTCGTTGTAGAATCCAACGGATTTGAATTCTGAAATCATCAACATAATCTAGAATTTCTACTCATGAGTCCAGATATGAAACCACCTTTTGGAAGGAGAGGTTGATGAATACTTGTGCATTCTTACGTGGATCATCTTCGCCTTTAATCAAATCATGTAAGTTTAGGTCTCGCAAAGATACAAGATGATCACTCGTCCATTCCGTGTCATACTTTCCGTCACACGGGGATATTGTGATCAGAGGGCGCGACCTACTCGGGTTCTTCCCAATCTTGATTCAATCACAAGATTAAAAACTGAATGCATATAGTTTAAACAAGTGATATCTTAAGAGTGCATAGAGAGTTACCAATGGAGATTGCAAGTTTCTTTTTCTTTTGGCAGAAGCAGTGATAGTTACACTAACATTAGAATTATTGTAAGTGTGAAATTTGAAGGTTTTTCCCTTGGAAGCAGTGTGGCATGGATTGAATATTGGGCTGAAGCTTCTCTGGGATGCCATATCTGAGTCACAACGAAGTGAAGATAACAATTGGAATATTTAAGCTTATCTTATCGTGTGACTCTCATTCAAGCTAGTTGGCTAATGGACCACACATTTCTGACAAGATGTTTTTCCATTTCCTTCAAAATCATTCTATTCCATAATTAATTTATTTTTATGTTGAAGTTTAATTTAACTGCATTGCTTACAAATTAAATCAGCGACACCTTTTTTTTTAAACAACTTTAAGGAAGGGGAGATGAAAATTCATTTAAATTATGTGAGAACTTAATTATTTCGAAAAATATGTGTATATATAATAACATAACTAGTGTTAGTTAGTCAATTTATACTTGTAATTATATTGTATAGTTGGCAGAATATGCCTTATTTCATTATTATATATACACTTTGTACATTGATATGTATTAACCGATAATGATAATGAGAAATTCAGTTTACACATTTGCTTCTTTTTGTGATTGAGCTCTGGTGACCTTTTCTCTTCCCTTCTCCTTCTTTGTTCTTTCAAGATTCATTCATTCTAAATTTTAATTTTCTTTGAACACTTTCTCTGCGACTTCTGCTTTTCCTGCCATGGATCACTAGAGCTATGTTGATTTTGTGACAAACTCTGCCAATTTCTACTATCTGCATCCTAACGAAAGTCCCATTTTGATTCTTGTGGCTCCACCATTGGACAACAAAAATTACCACACCTAATTTCGATCTATGCAAATCGCATTGATTTCGAAGAACAAGGAGAAACTTATAGATAGATCGTTACCCAAACCCTTTGTTTCTAATCCTCTCTATGCTCAGTGGACTCGATGCAACACCATGGTACATTCTTTGATTCAAAGATCAATTTTTGAATTCATTGCGAAATCGGTGTTGTGGATCGATATTGTTGCGGGTGTTTGGTGTAACACTCCACTCTACCCCGTACGCGTATTATAAAACATATACGGAAATATCACATAAAAGTACATCAGAGTTCTCAAAACAAGTAGGATGTCACACTAATTCACTTCATTCTTCATAAATAAACCAATGTTATCTAGCTTTCAATTAAACAGCGGAATAAAGTCAATGTTTAAACGTAATATCCACAATCGGTGGTTATACATCATTAATCCAGCCGATAAAAGATACGCAACAATTAATCAAGAAAATAAGCAAAATATAACGTAATCCCGTCATCCCATGTTACGTATCAGAGCGACTCCTAGGACTCGATCAAATAGCAACACACTCTAAGCACTACTCAGGTACCTGGTCATCTGCACTCCCCAAGGAGCACAGACGTAACAAACAGAAAAGGAGTGAGAACTACATTCAATAAATAAGCGGTGAAATACACATTCTAAGGAGTAGTTACACACCACACATACAATCATACACATACAACGCACATACACGTGCCATCTTAATCACTCGGCATTAACATCCCATAATCAAATACAAATATGCAATGTGACTCACGGACTCGACATAATGCATGTGGTACCAACACAAATACATACGGTTCACCCTAGAACCCGATTCCCGTCGGAATCCGGATAAGTCGTATATGTTCCTCTGAACTACAACTTATCTCCACAACGACTTCCACATGAAGTCCGGATGAAACTAGACACCCATCATGGATTCCCACATATCCATCTCCACAAGACACATGACATGAAATGCATGACAACACACGACCATCAATGATCCACACGAGCCATCCGCTCACCGTAATCCTCTCGAGAATTACCACAATCGCACAAGATTATTCACATTTGATAATCATGGCTCACACTCATCAAAACACACTCTTAAAGGCACACTCATATAATTCCACATTCTCTCTATTTAATTCATTACTAATATTTCTTAAGTTCATTTTAGTCCTATTAGTCCTACCGAGTAAACGGAAACGCGTTCCAAGCGAAAACTGGACAGAAATCACAAAAATTGAGGAAAAGTCATCCCAGACTGTCCATACGCGTACCAACATGGTCCATACGCGTATTTCCTGCTGTCATACGCGTATTAGACCTACCTTACGCGTATGACCAGAGGCCGTCACCTCCCAAAACCCCTCAGAGTTACTCCTTACGCGTATGACTACCCTCATACGCGTATTGCCCAAGCCCATACGCGTATCTTACGCGAATCACCAGATGGCCATGCTGGTACTAGGGACAGGGCACGTCTGCTACGCGTACATCCCTTGGAAAGTCCCCCATACGCGTATGACCAACAAATCTGTCAAAAAAACTCAGATCTCAGCATTCCCACGAGTTTCTCCTCAAGATCCACCATCCTACCTCCCCATTCATCCTCAAAACTCAGATTTTAATCAATTCCAATGAATCTTATCTCCTATTATTTCAAGATTCTATTTATTAGATCTAATTTTGATTACTGTTAAACCCTTAATTCTCATATCTAACAACTGTCATAATTTCACCACAGTGTTCATAACATTTCACACGAATTTTAGATCAGTTCTAGATTCGTTCACTCTGCACCAAACTAGAATACACAACAATGACAACAATTACAAGGAAAATCATACTGTTATGAAAATCAAACCAATAAGCAAGAACAACAGAATTCCTACGAGAGAAAGGATCTCTCACTACCCTCTCATGTTAAATCAGCCATAATGAAATTCATTCTCCTCCCTTACCTTGGATTGAAGCTTTTTCCTTGACAACAATGGAGAATTGGCCCCTTTTTGCCCTAGCTCTCCTTTCTCTGTCTTTTTCCTCTTTCACGTGTTAACTGATTAATTCTTCCACTAACTCTCTCTTAACTCCACTTAATTAGATTTTTAATTCATTTAATTTTATTACTAATAATAATAATAATGACTACCATCCTATTACTATTATTATTAATAGTGATTAAATAATAATAATACCAATAACCATAGCATTCTCCATATTGTTATTAAATGGTTAATATTATTACTCTAGGTCCACCTTACCCCAACTAAAGTCACCTCTCACTTTCTCCCCGAACATCATATCCTTATCAAGGACATCACAACCAATACACACATGATAAAATATAAAATACTAAATAATTCAAATGGGGTGTTACATTTGGAAGAATCTTCGCATTAGGTTTTTGCAGAGTGATGTATTTTGCATTTCAGATATCCAAGAAGAACTTTATCGCTTCCGCCAAGGTACACTTGATGTTTCTGGGTATTTTACACAATTGAAAATGCTTTGGGATGGACTAGAAAACTATCGACCTCTTCCTTGTTGTACCTGTTCTTTTGCTTGTTCATGTGGTGTTGTTGATTCTGCTAAGACATATCGTGAACAAGATTACGTTATCAGGTTTTTGAAGGGCTTGAATGAAAGGTTTGCGCATTCAAAATCTCAAATCATGATGATGAATCATTTCCCTCATATTGACAAGGCTTTCTCTCTTGTTATTCAAGAAGAACGTGAGTTGAATTCCACACTACTAGCGGATTCTACTAATTTTGCAATCACTGCTCTACATGTTAATGCTCGAAGGGCAAAGGAACATACTCTCCAAAAAGGTTACAAAGGGTTTGCACTTACTGTGGAAGAACAAATCACACAGTTGATACTTGTTTCTTGAAGCATGGATATTCTCTAAGCTATAGGCAACAAGGGAAACGACAGAGTTCTGCCAAAAAAAATTCACAATCTCAAGCCAACAATGTTGTTTCAACATCTGCAGATGCTCCTCCAACTTACTCTTTTGGCTTCACTCAAGAGGAGTTTCAAAGCATTTGGGCCTTACTCCAACAATCCAAACATGTTCCTGCTGTAAACTCAATCACTTTTTCACCCCTTGCAGTGCACTCTCACAAGCATTGGAAAGAATCCTGCCCTTTGGATTTTAGATACAGGAGCAACTAATTACATTACTTTTGAACTTGCCAATTTTTCCTCTTATCAAACTATTGTTCCTATTTTTGTTTCCTTTCCCAATGGATCTCTCATAAATGCTTCCATTTCTGAATTTTTCTCACAATACCTGTCATATTTTTAGAACCATTTGAGGCAAACGATTGGTACAACTAATCTGCAAAGAGGTCTCTATGTCATAGATACAAACACTACTCTTTCTTATTGTAATTCTGTTGATTCAAATTCTTTTGAAACTTGGAACTATTGACTAGGTCATGCTTCTCATTCATGTATACATATTTTAGCTAAAAGCTTTTCTCTCACTTCTTGTAATACTAATAACATGAAACCTTGTGATTCTTGTCATTATGCAAAACAGAAAAAGTTGTCTTTTTTCATTAGTACTACTTTTACTCATGCTCCCTTTAAAATTCTGCATGCTGACTTATGGGGCCCTTTTGCCACTAAATCCATTCAAGTCCATAAGTATTTTCTTACATTAATGGATGACTTTACACAGTTTACATGGGTGATTTTTCTCAAAACTAAAACTAAAACTCAGCAAAGCATTATTCATTTTGTTGCTTCTTTAGAAAATCAACTTAATACCACACTTAAGTGCCTTAGGTCTGACAATGGCTCATAATTCTTAGCCTTAAGATCCTTTCTTTTATCCAAAGGTATCTCTCATCAAAAGTCATGTGTAGAAACTCCCCAAAAAAATGGGTTGGTTAAGAGGAAGCACCAGCATATCCTCAATGTGGCTAGAGCTATTACATTTCATTCCAATGCTCCCACTATTTTGTGGAATTTTAGCATTAAACATGTTGTTCACATAATCAATAGGATTCCTAGTCCCTTACTTTAAAATAAATGTCCTTATGAATGCTCTTCAAATCTTTTCCTGTCTTAATTCATTTGAAAGTTTTTGGTTGTCTTTGCTTTGCAACCACACTCCAGTCACATAGAATCAAATTTGAGCCTAGGGCAAGAAAGGCTATGTTTATTGGCTTCAAACTTGGTATCAAAGTTACTTACTCTATGACCTGATGTCTCATGAAGTGTTTGTATCTAGGAATGTTGTTTTCTATGAGATAACTTTTCCTTTCCAATTTTTTGCTTCTACTATGG